GACCGAAGGCATGACCTGTAAGGTCCCGACAAGAAAGTGACTAAGACAGGAAGGATTATGATGATTTCATTTGGAGACTAAATAAGATTTAAGGAGATATTCGGAAATGCCAAGTTGAAAGAGGATTGACTTGTGATGGTGTCTTAGTTACTTTTCTTGTTGCTAAGAGAAAATACCCAACACTCAAAGTTAAAGGGGAAAAGTTTTATTGTAGCTCACAGTTTGTAGAGGTTTCAGTCCATAATCAACTGGTTCCAGGGGAAGTTGGCATAGCAGACAGTCCTTGCAGAGGAGAAACAGTTCATGGAGGCCAGAAGGTAACAAAAGCAAAAAGAGAGTTTAACAGCATTTTCTGCCCCTTTTATTTTATTCAGACTACTGGGATTAGGGCAGTGCCAAACCAATCCATGTACTGGTTTAGTAATCATATGTCCTTAATCCCAGCATCACACTCCCTAGATTCAGCCACTGCATGGCTTTGGGGGGACACCTTGATTCAAACCCTAACAGATGGTTAATATTATATGTCACCTTGAATGACTAAAGGGTGCCCAGATTTCAGGTCAAGCATTATTCTAGGTGTTTCTGTAATGTTAATGTTGAATATTTTAACATTTAGATTGATAACCCTGAGGAAATCAGATTGCTCTCTCTAAAATTAGTAGGCCTCATCCAATCAGTTAAAAGCCCATAAAATTAAAAGTTTGACATGCTCCAAAAAAGAGGGAATTCCTTCCACCTCCCCTTGAGCCAAGATTTGATTTTTTTCTCATTGTCTTCAGATTCAAACTGAAACGTCAATTCTTCCTGAGTATAGAGGTTGCTAACCTAGGACTTTAAACTATACCACTAGTTTTCTTGACTGTGGGCATTTGGATTTGCATTTCAACTAGAACTATACTATCAGCAATCCTGGTGTCCAGCTTGCTTACTATAGATCTTGGGACTTGTCAGCCTTCATAATCTTGTTAATTGAATTTTGCATAATCTCTCTCTCTCTCTCTCACACACACATGTGCAAACACACACAAATACATACTTTCTATTTATTTTATTTATCTGGAGAACCCTACCTTAATATAACCTACTGATAATAATTGGAGTTGAAATTCCAAGACATCAGATTCATAATTAATAAAACATAAATATTTACCACCTACCACTCTGAGCAATTTTTAAAAAAATAACTTGTTTTAAATTTTGCTTCCATTCCTGTATTTAAAAGTTGCCAAAATCCAGAATGTCATCAGCAAAAACCATGATGCATTAACAAATTGCAAATCATCAAATCAATGTTAATAGAACAGTCACATAATAAAACATACATTTGTCAACTATGGCAGTTCATGGACTCATCAATTTTTCTTTTAAAATTCACATTTTAGAAATAAATTTTTGTTGTTGTTGTTGTTGTTTTTTGTACCAGGGATCGAACTCAGGTCCTTGTGCCTGTGAGGCAGGTGGCAGAACCACTGAGCTAAATCCCCACCCCTAGAAATAAATTTTTAAAGGCTAATTAGATTTTCTGGTGAGTTGAAAAATTTAAAAATCCACAGCATAGTTAAACATTTTAGAGAACTAAAAGTTTTGTGCCTAGAGAAAGAAGTTCCTGAACAGAGGAGGAAAAAAATATGGGAAATTAAACAATCTCTACCTTTTTTTAGGCACAAGTGATTCTTGTGTGTGTTCCATAAATAAATGTTCTATTGAAATGACACATCGTCATTTGGAAGCATTTATAATTTCTGCTCCCATTATTGAATTATGCCTGACATAAAATTTTAGATAAGCCCATCAATTAAACATTTTTCAACATCTACTCTTGGATAAAGTTCTTTCTTAAAAAAAAAAAAATGACCCTATACTATTCCTCAAAGAAAAGAGAAAAAATAGAAGAAACCCAAGATGAAGAGTACATTCAGTGGTAACTTTCTGTCCTTTGATATTTTTGTCTTCGTGTACATCTCACTTTTAAGTCCAAGTCATGGAGTATGGGCCATTATATGTATACGAATGTACAAGTACCCTGTCCTGGAGGATGTGAATAGAGTTGCTCTATTGGCTAGTGGTTGAACTAGATGACCTTTAGCTATCTCCTAAAACCTTAAAGTTCTATGCTTTTAGATTTTAATAAGTTGTAATCTATTTACTTGTGCACTGGGGAGATGATTATTATTAAACTTCAATGATTATCATTAAAAACTCTCACAGCATGCCCAATAGCATCATTACATAAAAGTTAAATTAAAAAATTTCACTGAATAAGAATTAGCACAATAAAATGTTCATTTTGATACTCAACCAAATGCAAGGTGTGCAGTGTTTCATGAACTAAAAATTTCCTTGGAATGCAATTTTTGCATTCTATAAGGACCTAGAATGGCCTTCAGATATTTGAATTATTTTAGCCATAGAAAAATAAAACACAGTCTCTCCAAGTCCACTAAGCAACATCCTTTTCACTATATCTTCAATTTCTTCCATAATTATTTTTTTGTTTCTGTTTCATTTTTTTGGCCAGAGAAACCATCATTACCACTAAGTACAATGAAAAATTTTGTTGAACCCTTGTTTTTAAGTACCTGGAATCTGTGTACTTGTTCCATTATACTACGGGGAACTCTTTTATTTTTTCTTCCAATTCATTCATTGCTTCTAATAAAATGTGAAGACTAAAATGATTCTCATTCAGAAATATATAAGTGCACAAAGTAATTTAGTTAGTGTTCTTAAAAGTTAATGGGTAACCAAAAATACAATATAAACTTTCTGCATGTTTCTGTCAATATTATTCTCTGAAACAATGATCTTACACATATTTAAAGTTCCAAATCTGAGGTCCTGTAAGATTATTATCATTTTTACCATGGATATTAATAAAATATCTTACATACACTATAAATGTGTATCAGAAGCCCATCCAAAGTGGGACTAATTTTCTTCTTACTCAATAAAATACATTTTTGAATGGGCAGATTGATTCATGGGATCTTTCATTTTTCCTTGAATATTGTTTCTGTGACACCTATGGCATCTAAATTTCTATCCTGCTAGTTTTTAGGTTGGCAATGAGAAGTTACCAGGAAACTCTACCAGGTGATGTCCTGTAGGTGGAATGGGGCAGCTGGTCAAGGACTTGTCCTGGGTTGAAACAGGTTGAATTGAAGCAAGTTAAAACTCTAGTGATCTTTTACTTCTATATCTGAAAACTATATGTTTTTATTTTCTCAAATAATTATAGCTTTTTCAAAGTTTTCACCATTTGAAAAGATACAAGAATACCACAGATAAGACAAAGAATGAAAGACTGATTTTAAAAAATGAATAAAAATCTTTAAAGAAGTTTTATCGAGTTAAATGAGAAGGCTGAATGGCATATCTTAGCTCCTGAATGTTTTAGAAGTGTCTTACTTCACCGCTAGAGAATAGAGTTTATCAACTCAACTGATGAAGCTTTCCCTTCATTTAGTCTTTGTGTAAAAAACATAATTAATACTGTCTTGAATAGTCAGTCAAAGAGGTGAGAATTCATCTTTCAGAGATGTAAGTTCTTGTTTTGGGTGGAAGACTTGATCTTGTTAACCTTCATAGTTTTTTCACTAATTCTCCTTAATCATCATAAACATATAATGGTTTTCTAGTGGGGAAAGTTAGTCCACGTGATTTTCCCACAGTAATAGAATTGTTATGAAGTAAGAAGAAAATCAAACCTTTCTTAATGCCGAGGACCAATTCCCTCTCCCCCTGGTCTGGTAATTCCCTTGACAATTTTTGGAAAGATAATTTAAAAATTGAGGGAAAAATTTCTCTATATTTTATATTTTCTTTTTATTAAGAGAGAAAAAAACCTTTTCTCTGAGGAAAAGTTTCTACACACACATTACAGGTTAATTTACAATTTGCATTGCTAGTAACTGGAAGCTGATGTCTGTGTCATGGCTTGTTGCCTCAATAATAAAATATAAATAAAAATAAGAATGAGGGTAAATCTAGTTAATAGAGGTCCACACAAAAACAATAGCTGTTTCTGTTCCTTCCTCTGGTACCAAGCCCAAGATTATGGGGGAAAAACTGGCAATACAACAAAATTACCTTTAACTTCTATTTCATTTCAGCATAAACTAAGGTATGTGTTTGGGGAGGAAGATGAAAGGGCCATGTTCTCTTTTTTTACTTCCCTCCAGTAAAGGAGCTTTGCTCCAGGAAGCAATGTTGGATACAGTATATTTAAAATTAATTGAAAAAGTAAAAGATTGTAATGCTTTTTAATATAAAAAATTGATTTTATTAAAATGCTTTCAAATATTATAATACAATGTTTTATTTACTACTCTAACTCTGTATCAGAAGTATCATTTCTATTCTAGACATACTGATTTTCGTGAATTTTGGAAGTAGAAAAATAAAAGCAGTGTACAAAAATTCTTCTTCACCATCCTTCTTAAACAGAGCAAAGCTCATTATGATGAGAGAGACTATTTCAAAACAATACTAATTCTTTTTTCTCTCTCAGAAGGTAGAATTATCCAACTAAAGTTTTTTTTGTTTTTTTTTGTTTTTTTGGTACTGGGAATTGAACTCAGGTCCTTGCACCTAAGCAGCAGGCGGCAAAACCACTAAGCTAAATCTCCGCCTAAAGATGTTTCTTAAACAATAAAAGACAGGACGTATTTCTCTAAGCTTTGTGTTTTGTCAAACTGAAGCATGACATGTCAAATATTTATAATAAAAGTCATTGTTAAGTACACTGAATCACAGAAATGTTTGAAACATAGAAATGGATTATCAACCTTATTGAGGTCCTAGTATGATGTAAGAACTTCTGTATTCATTGTTAAAATGAAAAACTGGAAACATTATATTCCTTTTCAGATTAAAAGGAATCAGTACAATTGATTTAAAATTTAAATCACTTCTGATAGGTAAGAAATTCCAGTATTGTATATGTTAAACATAGACAAAAAATTACAGTTGTTATTTTTTTCATGTTTTACTATTAAGAACTTTTTTTAGACTCAGGTATTTAATAAAATGCAGGATAAATATCTGTGTAAAATATTTAATTTTTGGTAGCTTAGGTCTTATAATGATAGTTGTTCTGAACACTGTATTTTATGTATAGCAATAATTATAGGTTTTTAGTAGCTTATGATATGAGGTATCTTACATCTTAGCTTATTATTCTTATATTTTTATACTCAAAATTATCAATTTTAAACATGGAACTCTATTTCTGAGCACCGCCTGGATGTAATGATGCATCATCTGAGGAGCAGAATTAAGCTGATTGTCAGCAATGTATTCCGCTATTAGCTCCCTTCCTACTTACCATAAAATAAACAGGGCAACATGAAAGCATCTTTGTGTAACAGTGTGTAGCTTTTTATACAGCTACCCTTGCATCTGTAATACTGGCAGAGCTGAATACAGACTGTGAAGTGGAATCCATAAGCGATCCAAAATTACTATGCCCAGTAGCCTCCTCGCACATAACCACATTGCTTCTAAGAACTGACCCTGGAATCCCACATACCTGGACTCAAATCTAAATGCTTCATAGCTATATGACTTAGAAAGTTACCTGATCTATTTGGGTTTCAATTTTCTTGTCTTCAATAAAATGAGAGCTGTTAGAAGTTTAAGTGAATACAATACACATATACTAATTTATTTTAAAAATATGATATATAAGATTTATATTCACTCAAGGTATATCTGTATATAACCACTTAATTTTTGATATATATATATCAAAATACATATACATAAACAGCTTAGAGCAGTTCTTGGCAGGTGGTAAATGCTATGTAAATATTAACTATCATTACATTGCCTTATCAGATCTGTATCTTAACTACTAATGAGTAACAAAATTAAATTATCTGATAGTTCCTTGTTTTCTGTTTTTCCCTTAAAAGTTCAAAGGTTGCAGCAAAATGTCTCTGTTAAGTTGTGTAAACACAGAAGACCTGCCCTAAAGCAAGTTGGTTTAATAGGCTAATGGCTTCCTGGATACATAACTGGCTCTTTGTAGAAGTTGTAGAGGGACTGTTAATGGACTTTTGTTAGGGATGATGGATTGATATTCCAGGGACAGTACTGATGACAGTCTTCATAACCACAGCGTCTCATAGCGTATTGTGAAAACAGCAGCCTTTCCAGTAGGTATAATCTCACATAAATCAAAACACTAGAATGTAGGCTTTGCAAAGAGAGAGATTTTGTCTATGTTGGCTCACTGCAGTATCCCAGATTCTAGAGAAGGGCCTAGCAAATGATGGAGGGTCAAAAATTATTTCTCAAATGAACTGAATGAATGAAAAATATGACCTTCCTTTTAACAGGATTATTATTAAAAGCAAGATACAATGACATATTCTCTTACTTGATGGAGTTTTGATCCTGAGAATGCTGGCAGGCAGGTAGGCAGAATGGAGGAGCAGCATGTGAAAGGTATAGTGCAAATATTTCTAGAAGCCATGGATTTAGTAAAATATTCATGGAACCATGTTGTGTGAAGTGGTGCCACATAACAATTAGGTTCATGTGCATGTGTCATATTTCAGTTACACATTTGATCTTGCTCAGCATCTGCCTAACTTAGTGTCTATGCTTAGACAATTTTCTCCCCAGCATTTTCGGAAATCTTTGGCCTGTGACTAAGTGTCATTAAGAACTTCAGTGAAATTCTCAGCCACGTTACTTTTAAATTTCCACTGAGCTTTAACTGACTAATCAGCTTGGCATGAACCATTTCACGGGTGGGGTTCAGTGTGCAGCATTATTTATAATTTAGCTCACAGCCTCAGAGAGAGAGAGAGAGAGAGAGTTAAAATAACACAATACTTTTAGAACTATGCCTGACTTAAATCTACATGATCTTTTCTATTCTCATAGCAAATATTGTTTGGAAACAGGAAAATGTCCCTTTCACAGCGTAAGCAAGTGGATGGATGATTTGAACAGGGACCTACTCATTAATACACTCTGCAGTTTTCCTAATTATCTTTGTATGGAAAGCTGAGAAGGTATTCGTCATCCTTGACTCAACCACGCTCAATCTATTTGTCTTTTCCAAATATAGTGAAACAGCAAACAATCTCATAGTACCTCATTAATTAATTAGACATGATTTTTAAAAATGGTTTCCATCATCTCATTTAACTTTGGGGCTTCCAGATATTAAGAAGCCACCAAAAAGATATTGATTTACAAAGCAAATGACCACATCAGGCCTGGCCCAAGAACTCTGAGCCCAGAAAGAAAAAAATGTATAAAAATGAATCATGGCAGAAATATGCTGAAAACACATATCTGTAATCATAGAAAACAATTAGGCCTAAGGTAATTAGTGTTACCATTCAGGTTCATTTTATTCCAAGGTACTGTTTCTGTGCTTGAATCTCCATGTAGAAAATGTACCTTAGCATTAAAACACTATTGAAGATGGTATAATTTCACTTGGCCCTGGGGCATGTAGCGTAAATTTTTACATTATTGCACAGTAACAAAAGTTTACAGCTGTAGATAACACAGGATCTGATGCACACACTTGGTGTTTAAGGCTAAACGAAGGATTGGAGAGCAATCATTGCCAGGACAGTGATCAAATATCTACACACAGTGTCACCTGTTTGAGTAGTTAGAAAAGATTTCTCATTTCAAAATCTGTTCATAGGACTTTTTTTTCACATTTGTCAGCTCCTTTTCACTTGTATGCTAGACAGAGGCACTTTAAGAGCTATAAACTGCAGTTTCAGAAGTACAAGACATGAGTTTCAGCTGTCATTGGTAAATATAACAAGAAATTAACATAAAATCGGATTAAAAAGAAAATAAAACTGCTCTAAATCTTATAAAAATTACTGGTCTCTGATTTGAAGAACTTCTATATTAAAAAAGAAAAATTAATAGCTATCACCCATCTGCATCCAGACAAGTGCATACTACAGCGTTCTGATATTAAGGTATAATGGTTTTGCTGTCTAGGCTTGTAAAGGTTTTAAAATATTAATATTAGTAAGTACTTTCAATGATTTTCGAGTAGTACAGTATTTCAAAGTATTGTACATATGTTCCAAGTGCTCAGAAAAACTAAAGTATCAAAGAAAACAGGTTGGAAGAGTTTAGTAAAATGTATAAAAATTAAGACTAAAATGTGTAAAAATAAATTGCATTCATTTGTGGGATTCCAATGACTTTTTTTTCTTTTCTTTTTATCTGGTCTCAGTTAGCTGGTACATACTGCACCCGCCACAACACGTTGGAAAGTAGGTCCTGGTATACACTAAGAAATATCCAACCAGGTAAATACAACAGGGTGATGAGGCCCATGAAATTGAGCGGATAATGAGAATAATCCCAGGAACAAGCCCCGCATGTGCGAAGTCCCAGACCCCAGGACAACTCCCAGGCGTAGATGAAGATCACGTACACTGGCACCCGCTTCCAGGTGCCCCAGCCGCGGCTGCGGTGGAGGTGGAAGTAGAGCTTTTCCACCACAAAACTGCAGCTGCCATACATTAAGAAGGACCAAAGCGACGTGTGGCCGCTGCTCGTCCCGTCCCCCTGTCCCAGCACATTAAAGAAGAAGGTAAAGAAGATCTCATCCAGAAAGCCGTGCATTCCGAAGAAAAGAAAGCGGAGCAGGTCGGGCAGTCCCTGGCTAGAGGCTCCTCTGGCGCCCTTGGGGCCACGGGGTCGTCGCCTCCGGCCTCCGGCTGCTGCGGGAACCCGGGCTCCAGGAGGAGGGGCAGGCCCCGTGCCCCTGCACTGCTGCTGCAGCCGCCGCTGCCTGTGGTACCGCAAGCGCAGGAAGCGCTTCAGGAACACTTGGCCATGGTAGAGCGCCAGCACGTACTGCAGCGCCAGCTCCAGCTCCAGCGCCCCCAGCGCCACCGCGCCCCCCGGCCCGCCCCCCAAGCTGAGCAGCAGCGCCTGACCCGCCAGGGTCTGCAGCCCCACCTGGGCCGAGGGGTACAGGAGGAAATTGAAGACGAAGGCGCTGGGGCAGCGGGGCTGCTGCAGGTAGAGCTTCTCCAGGGCGAAGTGAGTAAGCGAGTGCAAGAGGCAGCGGTAGGGCGAGGAGAAGCCCAGCATCCGCGGGTCCGGGCTGCGAGCGAAGCGCTGCGCTGAGGACACCAGCACGTCCAGGGTGATCCCGTGCATCCCGTAGAAGTACAGGCGCATCCAGGCGGGCAGCGTGGTGCCCTCGCCCGGCGCTTCAGCAATGGACAGCGGCTCGGGGCAGCGGGCGGCCGTCTCACCTCCCTGCCCGCCGGGGTGCCCTGGACGCCGAGCCTCGCTGCCCCTCCTTGCCGGCCCCTCGCTGTCCACGTCGCTGCCCTCCATGGGCTCCGAGGATACCCGGGCACGCGGGGCTGTGGGGCCGAGCGGCCGCTGCCGGTCCCGGGGGGCTCGGGGAGCTCAGTCCCAGCTGCAGTCCCGCGGCGGCGGGGGCTGGTGCGCTCTGGGGACGAGCGCCGCTCGCCTCAGGACCCCCCTGCCGCTCCCTCCGCTCCAGTCCCCCGCGAGGTGTCGCCGGTCGGCGCCCTCGCTCACCCTGCGCGGCCTAACGGGGGCCGCGGCCGGGGGAGGGGAGGAGACGCCGGGGCAGCGAGAAGAAACGCAGAGGCTGAAGTGAGCCCCATCCCCTCCACGGCGCACCCGCCACCTCTGCCGCAGGCCCTGGAAGCGTAATGCGGGCTGCGGCCCTTCCCGCCGGGCTCGACCTCCCCCGCCTTCTCAGGCCCCCGCCCCGCCCCGCCCCGCCCAGGCCTGGCGGCAGAGCCTCGCGGGGGGCGGCTAGGGCTGGTTGGCCCGGTGTTCGGTCGGCGCACCGAGGCTCCGCGCCCGGGTCCCAGGCCGTGCTGGGGACGCTGGCTGGGCGGAGCAGCGGGGAGCAGCAGCACCTAACAGGTGTGACCGGCCGCGAGCTGCGGGGCATTCCGGGGGTGCGGGAACCAGGGCCAGGCCTTGGCTGGCGGAGACGAATGGATGGGTGCCACGGCCTAGAGGCTGGGCCCAAGACCAAACTACAGTGCTGTATAGTTAATGTTCTTGCTCAACCCAGCTGTGTCCCAGTCGCCTAGAGTAAGCCTGAGACAACACGCCTGCCTGCCCCCGCGCTAACCTGCATCTGAAATGCTGCCGAGAGACCTGATCCACTTTTCCAATCTCTTCTCCAGGCTAGGCTGCTTGGCTCTCTGTTTACTCAGGGCCAAGGACATAGATTCGAAGTCCTCCAAAATTTAGAAAATGGTTTGAGGCCAGCAGGGTTGGGGTGTGGAGGAGAGGAAATGCATTGCTCTAGCTACCTCGGGGTGGGCTCAGGTCGAGAATATTCTTTGTACCTTTGCTCCAGCTGCTGCACCTCAGAGCTGATGTTTTCTTCTTGCAGAACTAGGTCATACCAGAAATGGAGCGTGAAATAGAAGGTCAAGGTTTCTCTTTTTCTGTCTTTTCTTTTTCCTTCCTCTCTCTAGCACCCCCCCCCCATCTTTTTTTGGTGGTAGTGAGAGTGGAGGGAGTTCAGAATGTTGATGAAAATGATTCCAACCGTTTTTTCCCCCAATTTTCAGTCAGACTTGAATTTGGAAAAGCCCTTAGAGATCAGTTATACCCCTCTCCCAAACCTGTACAAGCAGGAGCTAGGTAACAGCTTTAATCTGTAAGGAGTTCAGATCTTCCCTAGATAAAAGGTTTTATGGTGGAATTTTCTTTTTCTTCTGAGGATAAACATTCTCAGGCAGATCTCCATTTGTAAGGCAACTTCCTACTTTCCCCTCTTACTTATTTAAATCCTTTATGATACAATCTGTGGTAGCTAAACTGTCTGTGAGGTAGGTAAAAGAGAGAAATTAGACTTTGGTGAGAAGAAAATTGTTTCTATGATGACACTTGTATGAAATCAAAGGTCTGATTTTCTTTTTCCAGCATAGTCAGCATGTTGTTTATTGTGCTGCCTTCCTTTGGTAACTATAAAAAGTTGGTGGGTTGAAGTTATCACATGAGGTACAGAAGTGTCCAATAGCAAGCTCATCAAACCTGTTGCCAAACAGAAACACAGCTAAATGTCCAAATGCCTGAGCAACAATGATGAGGAAAAATAATAATGTAATAAGATATACCCTGTCTTTAAGAGTTATTTCATCTAGATGAAATGATTTGAAAACAATCTATCATGTTTGTATAATGCCTATATATAATTAATATTAATAATATATAACTATGATTGGCTAGTAGTACACACAAAGTGAAATGTTTCTTTTGACTTATTATTTTATTCAGTAAACTCCATCCTGGACCCAGTGTATCATACGGTAAAAACAAATGCAGGAGATTGCCACAGCACAGCTACTGGATGGGAAATCACATTCCTAGGGAGGAGTTGGATCTGCTGCTCCTTGGCAGCCTAGCTTATGAGAGCCAAGTTCCCAAAACTGAATGTCACACAGGGAGTTGTAAAAGCAGCCCCCTGATTTTACCCCCTTGCCACACATAAGGGCGACACTACCTGTGTCCAGACTCTATATTACCAGCAAAGCCCTATTTCTCTGTAAGTGCTACTGAGATAAGGAAATGCACTTTGGTGTAAATATAGCATATATATGGCATTCAAACATTCTAGATTAAACTGCAACCTTTTTAAAATAGTAAATTAAATTTCAAGAGTTCAAGCCTTGTACTAATTCTAACTTTCTTAAAACTGCAAGGAAAATTTGGAAATTCAAATTGTATAGTCCAGTCTAGAATTCATTCCAGAGAGTGTATGAAAATCTTTTCAATAAAAAAAATAGAGCTTCTATTTGTATATTTTTAATTTCAGTATTTAGTTATTTTCTATTTTGTGTAACTTCTGTGTTTTATAATGTACATCAATACAATCAAACTTATAATATTTGTGTGTGTGTTGGGGGGGTGGGTGTGTGTATAAAGCATGCTACATCTTTTAAGGGAGTACATAGTAAAAAGTTTGGGCCTTCCCTCTGTATCAGTGTAACACCTTGTCATATGAGTTATTCTACTAAAACACTTTTCATTATTTTTGGCCTTTTCTGAAATGTTTCCATTTTTCTTAGAAGTGATACAAACTATAATTAAAAAGCCAAAGTAGAAAGTGCAACTATTATCTGCTTTTCTCTATACTTCTTTTATATTTTCATTGTGGCTTCTCACATATTTCAGAATGTGAGAGACATTAACTTGATAGAAGGTAAAAAAAATAGTAACTGACAAAGTACAAGAAAAATTATCATTGTTTTTATTGGTTTTAATTCTTTTTACTCATCATCTCATTTAAAAAATTCTTTTTTGAAATGCAACTTTTATGTATTTATTTATTTAAATTCATTAAGTTTATTGGTACATTTTAGGTAACAATATGATGACATTCATGAGTGGGAATTTGTACCTTTACATGATATATCTTGGTTGTCATTTGTTTTTAAATCAATTCTTAAAAGTTAGTTCAATGTATTATTTCATCTTGTATTATTATAACAAAATACTGGAAGCTGGTAACTTGTAAAGAAAAGAGGTCCTTCTTGAGAGCAGCTCCCACAGTGACCTAATCACCTCTCACTAGGCTCCCCTCCTAAAGGTTTCAGTACCTCTTCATGCCCCACACTGACGATCAAGCTTCCAACTCATGAACCTTTAGAGGACCAACCACAACCAAACGATGGTACCCAGCAATGATGCCAGTTTGTGAATGTTTTATCTTCACATTATTCTTTTTGCTTTAAGTAGTTCATTGTTATATTTACAAAACAGTTCTCCTTACTTTAAAACTGCACAGTGGCTTTAATGATTCATGAAAATTTTGTAATTAAAATCCTCACATCAGAGTCATGAATATAAAAATCTTCAAGGCATTTTTGTGTTGATATTGTCTGCTATAAGCAGCAAATGTTGTAAAGATCTGTAGACTGCATACCTTTTTAGGAGTTGGTGAAGGAAGAAACAGACTGCAATGAAGAAACATCTATTTGAGGTTCCTTAGATTTGGGGCAGGCATTCAAAGAACATTTGGAAGCATTATTCTTGTATGCAAAACACAGGTTGTTTCAAAGGCCAAGAAATAGTCTGGATAATCACATTTCTAGAGGTGTAATGGTCGAAGAGGAGTCAACGCTGGCCTTATTGGACTGGCCAGGTTGGGTATAAGCTGGTCCATGCCTGAGCCAGCTTAGTCAGTGTGGCCAGGAAGAGACTTGAGAATTAGTGGAAAGGTCTGGTCCTTTAGAGGACTGTGATTATCTTTACTGAATTGTTCAGTAGGTTCAAGGTGGTAGTCTTTCAGATGAACAATATGCTTGAGACATTTTATTGCACATTGGAAGGACCAAGGAAAATGCAGACAGAACACAGGATTAAGAAGAAAGCTTAAAGGAAGCTCAATAGTGTCAGGTCTATTATATAAAGTTTGGCCTACATATTCTTTCATACATACTTGAATTTAGACATAAATGTATCTCTGTACATAGAAAACCATAATATAACTTGATAGGTAAACATCATAAAGTACTCTTGTAATAAGTAGCTGATTCTCAATGAATCACACCCTGCTTGAGTCCTGCTTCCTTATGTCCTCCTGATTCCATTGTTTTTTTTTTTCTTCTCAGTGCTAGAAATCAAACTCAGGGCCTTGCACAAGCTAGGTAAGCATAGTGCTGCTAAGCTGTACCCCAGCCCTATGATTCTATTTTTAAAAGCTTTTTAAATGTGGCCTTCATTGTAATTTTCCTTTTATTTTCACACTCTATGACATCCTCTGTCCTGGGGTCTACATCTGTCATTAAAAGTTAAAGACCTAGATAGGACCTGCTCTTCATAGAATTCTTGGGTACCACATGGGAGCTGAGACCCAGGATAACTATGTCTGCAATCTCAGAACCCTTGGTTAGAAGAAATTAGCTGATATATCATATATGTATAACTCATATATCTAGAAGTCATACTCTACAGATTGCTGATGTATAGTTGCTAAGGATTACAGTGTAACTAACACATGGTAACTAAAGTTAGAAATAGGTTTAACTTCCTCACAACTGTGTATCTGAGAAAGTAAGGCAAGTTTTATTAAGAAGGTTATGGAATATGAGGATATATTTTTGTTGAGGAGAAAAGAATGACTTCTAAAATAGACTGGTTCGATCTTTTCCTATTTCAAAGGTGTAGGGGTGTTGGGAGGGGAAGGGGAAAGGAAAGCAGGGAAAGGAAAAAATTATGAGAAAAGAAAAAAAAAAGGAAATGAAATCTATGCAAATAGGGAAGGAGGGAGGGGGTGAAGGGTGCACAGGTAATGGGGAAAAAAATAAGAACCTAGATACATCATGTACGGGTTCAAGCACCCAATGATAAATGCAAACATATTGTGTACCTAAAATGTACCAATAAAAGAATTTAAAAAAATAAAATAAAAGAGACTGGTTGTTCCAATGTGAAAGCGAAAAGTATGGAATGACTAAAGGACATTGTGAATGATTTCTAAAGAATGAATCTTTACAAAGAAATGTTATGGCTAAACAAGTTGGCTATGATTAGAAGGAAATTAAAAGTGTTTATTTTTATAAAAATTAAGTATTGATGTTGGAATAAAACTAACGGGAAGCTGGAGTTTAAACCCTTATGTTGGAATGGCAGAATTTTCTTGGGGCATTGATCTATTGATCTGGTCTTAATAGAAATTTTTAAGTATTTTTTTTTTAACTTTTGACTAGGTTAGAATAAGGAGAACAGATACTGTGTTTTTTCAAGTGCTCTTTGTCTGTAGTTTATATTTTCTTTATTTGGTCTTGGATTATATCAGAAAACTTGAGTCATAAGAGAGTTTAGATTTTTCTACACCTATCTAACTTCTCTGGGTTTGCCTCTGAAATATTTGGTTTTATTTCATAATGCTCTTTGTTCCTACT